ATATATATATTAACTTGGCAACTAAATTCCAACCATTTGTTTTTTAAAATTTGTTTTCAAAGTTTACTTTTTTAATAAAATAATTTCGAATAAATTATAATCCGAAAATTAACGACAAATTTAAAAAAGATAATAGCGAAAACTTATAGTTGTCAATGTAATATATATAAAAATTAGAAATAAATCTAACACAGGTGACCAATATAAATCGTATTATTTCTGACGATCTGTTAACGTTCTGTTTTGTTAAAGTCATCATCTTTGCACGCTCAAACAACAGATGCAAGAAATGCAACTGAAAGATGCGAAATCATCGGACAAGTAAAAGGAACTATCGTTCAAGTGCAAGAGCAATCAGAAAAAAATCATCAACAAATGCTCGTGGATACTTATTCTAACGGTTTATTACAAATAAATCAAATTAATAATAATAATCGTTCGTTAACTTCGTTAAATTTAAGTATACGCAATGATAACGATAATGATGACGACGACGACGATGATAATGATGATAATTTTGTATCAAAAAATTTCACTTACAATTCTACAAATGATAATAACGTAATACTAATGTCACAAGAAACGTTGTATCAAATAAAACGTAAATTGGAAAAACTCGAGAACGTTTTACAAAAATACGGTGTCATGTTAGATTCTCCTAAAAAACATATCGAAAAAGAATTAAACAAAAAAGAAGAAGAAGAAAATAAGAACAAAAAATGTAACAACATTGAAACGATTTATCGTAACGTCGTTGATACTTGCGACAAAATGAAAAATAAAATCGATAATAACGAAAGTAATAATTTAGATTTAAATGTAAACAAATCTAACGATAAAATGTTACAAACTAATAGCAGCGATTGGGAATTATTTGAGAGTATCGATTCCGAAGAAAATAATTCGATGATTTCGATGAAAAAAAGTCATTCCGAAGGATCAATTATCGTAAACGAAGACAAATCGTATAAAACAAATGATAATTTAATATTAAATGAAACATTTATTGCAAATAATGATTATCAAAATGATGATAAAAAAGTATTATTATCAGAATTCGTAGAAGAAACTGACGATGATCCGTCATCATCGATCATGTTATCAATAAATTCAACAGATCAATTGGAAATATTGAAAGATAGTGATTTGGAAAATAACAAATCTACCGAAATGTTAATAAAAGAAGCATTGCAATGTAAGAATGAACTTTTGCACAAATTATATTCGAATATTGAAATCATTAATGAAATTAAAGAAAAAACTATGTCGAATAATTATAAGAATGATATAAATGATGATGATGATGATGATGATGACGATGATGATATTGATTGTTTAAACAATGACAAAACAAATTTGAAATCTAAATTATTGGATATTATAACAGAAGAATCAACTATTAGTAATTGTACAGAGAAAACTAGTGGAACGTATATATTTTTACAAACGAAAGAACCATACGATGATATATCAATTCGTTCTACGTCATCATTGAACGTGGAATTAAATGATAACAAAAAAAAAGACAATATTACGATCAACGATAACATTGTTTCAGAAATGCATAATAATTTATCGAAACAAATTATACCGATTAATAATTCATCACAATATTTCAGTTTAAACGATTTATCTATATTATCGGAATACGAAAATAATTCATTACGAGAACAACTTATGAATGATTCGAAATCATTTTTTATAGAAAAAAATAAATCTTCGTTGAAAGGTAAAAGACGACACGAGGATGTTGCATTGTTAAATGAAAAAAATAATGATGATGATGATGATGATGATGATGATAATAATATCGATGACGATCGTAAAAGAAAATGTAATCGTGACGATGATGACGATGATAAACGTTTGATATCTTATGATGAATTACGTAAAGCTAAAAGTTTTAATATGTCTTTTTATCAAAATGATTATAATAACGTTACGAGTAATAATATTAATGATATTTTATTAACAAAAAAATGCATAAAAAATAACGCGGAAAATAATACAGAATTATTTACAAAAATTCATAACAATGATAATGATAATAATAATAATGATTTTCAAGATGATAATAATAAAATGGAAGAAACCGATGATGATTTATTATCTTTCAATCGAACTACCGATTCGTCTAGTTATGGTGGTGGTGGTGGTGGTGGTATAAAATATCAATTAATGATAGATAACGGTAGCATGACTAATTTATTTTCACCAATCGATTCGAATTTAGAAAATAAACGTTGTTGTTGTGTATCGTCATCCGTTATTAAAAAAGATGACATATTATACGATCATGATTTATCATTAAAAAGACGACCGGGAATGTTATCGTTCGCACAACTCAAAATGAATACCACCATAATACCCGACGAAAATGATTTATTTCAAAATCCATATTTTCTTGCGGAAACAACAACAACAACAACAACCCTGTCGGAAATAAATTGTCGAGAAAGTATTGAATTTAATTTAATTCCAATATCGGTGGTATCTATCGATACTCACGAATCAAATATTTTCGCAATGACTCGCGAACAAATTTTGACCGATATACAAAATGACTTATCATCATCCGTATTAAGTATATCTTATAACAATGATCGAAAAAATGACATCGAGGTAACTGAAATTATTGAAAATAAAATTTATGAAACTGATGATCAACGTGAAATGGAAATAATTTATGAAGATGATAATCCAAAAAATATACTTTGTATTTCGGATATTATTGATCATAAAAATGATGAAAATAATGATGTTCAAGATACAATGATATTACAACATAACGTGATTACTCAACGAAGTAGTTCATATTTTACTGGTGATACTTCGAGTTCTGTTAATAAAATAAATGATTTTGAGTGTTATCAAGAATCATTGAGTGATATTAAAATGAATAATGATTCCATTAAGGATATAGATATTCGAAATGATATATTAGAATATTGTATAAATACGTGTATGGATTTATTAATAAAAAAGGAAACTAATAAGAAGGATAACGAATCGTTGCAACAACAATTGAAAGATATAACAAAGAGTGAATGTATTATTTTGAATAATAATGAACCATCAATTTCTTATATTGAACAAACGAACGATTTGGAATTATTCAAGGAAGTTAAATCAATCGAAGAATGTAATAAAAATTTATTGGAAAATAAATCGGAAGGATTTATTTTTGACGGAAGTATTTATTACAAAAAACCATCTACTACCTTGGACGAATCAAATTTAAAGAAAAATAATCGTACGCGTAATACAACAAATTTTAATTCCAAATTTAAAATAACAAATGACAATAATATCAAAATTAAAGAACCGACAAACGTAAAAGGTATTACCTATTCGAAAAGATACGCAACAATGACTAATAATAATAATAATAATAATAATAATAATAATAATAATAATAATTCTCAGCTTAAGGCAAAAAGTAATTTCAATATAATAATCGATAACAAAGATATCGTATCGGATTCTTTAATTAAATCATATACGAGACCTAACAGTTGTAATATTTCGCGAGAAAAGTCACGATTTAACGGGAATATTAATAAAAATGGTTTGTCATCGCGTTCAGCTGTTTTCTCTCGTACGAATAACGAACAAAAATACGATAAAATAAAATCCAATTCGGAAATGGATTCGAAGTATTCATCAATCATATTAACTCAACCAAAATCATTTTCTAAATCATGTATACCTATATTAAAAAGTCGATTGGATTCACGAAAAATTGAACAACATCCAATATGTCGACCTAAAAGTCCAATTAGAGGGCCATTAACGATGCGTGGTTCCTATAGAAATAAAATACATATTAACGATGATAATCTTAATGAAATCAACGTTATACCAAATGAAGGTAATTTTATTAATAAAGAAGATACTCGACAACATCTGGATAACAGTAATAAAACGATCGATAAACAATTTAAAACGGTATCAACATTATCATCGTCATCATCGTCATTATCGTTTAAAGAAGCAAAAGTAAATGTCATAGACGAGGAAGATTTTAATAATATCGTATCTAACGAACAAACGATAATATACGTTAATATAATTAATCATCACGATAGTAACGTGACAAGAATACTTGATCCTGATAAATTTCTCGAGTATAATAAAAAAAAGAACGTAAATGAGTCATCGTCAGATCCTAAATTCAATGAAAACGTGTCATCGTCACCTTTCGTAATAATGACTCAAGAAAAACATACCTTGCCAAAAGTTGTAACAATTATGTCTTCAACAACATCGAATAATGCTAATAATAATAATAATAATAATGATATCGATTCAAACGATAGTAAAAATTTGTCCAATTCTAATGTATCGTCCAGTGGTAGGTTAAAAAATTTATGGTCTTTTACGATTCAACAAAAAGAAATGGAAGTTTCGGTAAAACCATCGGTCACGGACACGAGCACTTCGATGTCGGATTTTCTTAAAATCAATGAAACTATTGTGCCATTTCACGAGCATCAAATATTTGGCGTACCTAAAGAATTAACCAACGAGGAATATTCTTATTTGTTTGAAATTCTAACATGTAAACAAAATCTTGGTTATTTAAAGGAAATACAAAATTTGTGCAATAGACTTAGATTAAGAAACAACACTAATGTCTAATAATTTTGTTCATCTATATCTCGATTCCCTTATGATGTTTGTCTTTTATTACATATTTTCATAAATATATATATATACATATAAATATATATATGTATATATGTATGTGTATTCTTTGAGAAGAAATATACCTCTCTTTTTTTGTATACGTTTTACGCTTTAATAAATTTTTAATAATTTAATATAAAAAAAATATATATATATTGTTAAAAAAAACGCACCTGCATCTGTACACTTTGGCAGTTGACGAACTCGATACTCGATACTACCGAATCAAATACAACCGATGATTTGCGACAAGAATCCATGACGATTGAATTAACTTTTCCTTTGACTACCATTGTACTGTCCTGGCAACGGAACATGTAGATAACGTTGTTCATCTCAACGTTGTCGATGAGCAGGTCTTTATTACCTTTGTGATATTCCTAGTTTTGTTTTGTAAAGAGACATAAGAAAAATAATACTCATTAATTTCATCAATCGTTGCAAAACTAAAATCCATTGGTTTGTACAATAGCGACGATTTAAAAATGGATACACACCACTAGCCATTTTTTACCATCCTTAGTAAACACAGGTGGTTTATCGATAGGTGCGTTAGCTGGTAATACAGTTTTTCCTGGTACTGCATTATCAAGAACAGGAGCTTTGAATGGAGCTGGACCAGTTCTTAATGATGGGTTCTTATGAGTCTGCATGTCCGACGTAACTTTTTTCAAATCTAAATGAGTATTAAATGAAATAAATACAAAATATAAACGATAGTTTATATACACACACACACACACACACATAAGTACATCAGATATCATCGAGATATTAAGAAAATATAAATTACATATACACGTACTCTTCGTGATACCTTCCCCTTGATTAATTTCTTTGAATAGAGCACTTCTATCGTCGCTTACGTTCAATGCAGATACCTCGGGTAAAGGCATAGAAGGTGGTGGTGGTGGTGGAATCCCCCCCATTGGCGCAGAACCACCAGATTTGGCCCATACCAATCCCGTTGTATGATGTTGTCTAACGTATTGTTGAAGATCAGTCAATGTTTGTACCCATGCTTTACACCAATCCACGTGCGTTTTGTCTCTGTTAAATACAAAAATATGATATTAATGTTTCCTATCAGTTTTATAAATCGACTTATAATAATAAGTTTTTTGTTTGTGTTTTTTCAAGAATACTAACTTCTCTTTCCAATCCTTTAAAACGCGATTAGTATAAAACTGTCCAGCATCGTTCATTTCTTTAACGTAAGGAGCTGGTGTAGGTGAGAAAGCAACCCATCCCAATGCTGGAATACTTCCACTTATGGCAGATAAATGATTGAAAAACGGTGAGTTTCTATTCTTCTCGCTGAATTCTTGGATCTGAGTAATCTGTGCCGATGTTGGTGCCAACAATGATATTTGTTCGGATTGATTGGTAGGCGCTGAACGACTCCCAGCCAATTGGATGAAACCAAGTTGTATTCTTTTTTAAAAATCAAACGTTAATAGATTATTTTTTTGGTATCTATTTTTTACAATGGAAAAAATTGATGGAAAGATAAATAATAATAATAATAAAGATAATAAAACACAACTCACTGGAATGCTTTTTCAACCATTTCACTTTGAGTAGCTACAACTCCGCCAATTTTTTGGCTAAGTTGAAGATATTCTTTCAACGATCCTGCCAACAAATCTTCGTATCCTGCGACAGACATATTGTTGATGTTGATGTTACTATTATTATTACTATTATTGTTGTTGTTGTTGTTAGCGTTGTTGATGCTTGGTTGTAATATATTGTAAGATGCTTTTTCCGGTGATGATAATGGCGATGCAGCTGTATTTCTCGTTGATACCACCGGTTGCGGTTTCTTCGGTGACGGTGTATTAGTTTGAACAGCGGTTTCTTGAGTTTGAGTTAGAGAATGTCCTCCTCCTCCTCCTATTCCTCCTCCTGGTACTCTCTCCAATCGTTTGGTTACACTCTCAAGTCGATTAACCAGATCCAACAAATGTTCTTCCCTGTCGCTTACTTCGCAACCTTAATCAAATCAAAATTTTAATTACGATCAAATATAATTGCTTTTATAATTAATTTTGTGTTATACTATATATAGATATATATCTCTTTAAGAAGTTTTTTTTAATTAATATAATGCTAGATGTAACAAAAAATATTTTTCCATTGTTTCAATTTAAATTATCTCCTTCAAGGGAAAATTAACAACAACAACATTTAATTTATTACATTACGAATGATGATTATTATTATTATATTATAAATTCTTAATGTGATATTTTACTTTCACATGCGGTAACAACAACAACAAAAACAATGATGTTAAAAGTAACAAGTAAATAACACTTACATGCAAATAAGAACAAAAAAAAAGAGACAATTTTTCTAACACATACATGTATACTTACGTTATTTATTTAATTAATTATCTATTATTGCGTGCTTATATCATAACGTTAAAAATTAAATATTCAAACCTGATCGATCGCATTAATGATTACTTTTTATAAATAAAATAGTGCAAATACGAGTGTATTGTGTATATAATATTATAAGGATAAACTTTTTTTGTCCTAATTTTTGACTATTACGATGGAATTTCAAGAAGTTGAGAAAAATGAATTTTATCCACCGTTGCCGTAATAATTCGTAACACCTGGTATGAGAAAATGTTCTCGCGTATTAAGATGTTTTAAGACCGTATATTAAAACGAAATTCACGGTTTAAAAATAATTTCTGTCAACATTCTACCACGGGGGTGAAGGGGGGAAAAGGGGGAGGGGTGGGAATTCTCATCATTATGTTGCAAGTATTATAACGCGTATTTAACATTTTAGAATACTATTACACTCAAATGTTAAATCATGAAAAGTTTAACAAAATGAGAACACGTTATGAACGTCTACAATCACACACACACACATACACTCGCGACATAGAGATAAAAGATTTAATTATAATATTTAATATATTCGAGTATATTAAATATTTCAAAAGGAATTCTTTTGATAATAATAATAATAATATTAACACAACCGTATAATATATATATATAAAGGATTCAACATGAATGATTATGATGGAGGATTAAAGTACGAACAGAAAAAAAAGTATAAAAAAATAATTGAATCAATCGATCATTCACCTTAGCTCAGAAATAAAATAAAAAAGAAAGAAAAAAACAAAGATTATTAAAAAATATTTCTATATGGGGAATTTAAAGAATTATGACGCTGTTATGTAATATATCGATTCTTTACATATATACCAACAACAAATACGTATATGTATATATATATATATATATATATACGTTTTTTTTTATTCTTCTTCTTCCTCTTTCTCTTTATCACCCTTCGTTAAAAAGAAAAAAAAAAATAATAAAGATAGACGACGCGTACTTGAACGTACTTGACTTTCGGAAAATCTACGTAAGACTGAAAAAGATACTTTGAGGGAAAGATATTCAAGATGTTAGAATATCTCTCCGTGTGTGTCTGTTCTATAATTAGATAACTTCACGCAAATCCTCCAAGATGTATATTAGTATGTAACTTTGTATAATTTCGTATAAAATACCTTGCGCTCGTACGCACATACAGGAGGCACACACACACACACGCACATACATACATTAGGAATATTTATAAAACGAATGAATACGTAGGTGTAAAAGTACTATGATGACTCAGATCAAGATTCAATTTATATATAATTCATTTTGAAAATAAATATAACATGCATGTTTTTTTTTTTAATTAATATGATTTATTAAATATACCATATACCTACCAACGCACACATGCGCGTATTACAAGAGAGAAAATATAATAAAAGTTTAAATTAAAATAAAAAACTTTTATTATTATTAATATTATTATTCGTAAACTCTCTCACCCCAACCACCATCACCATAACCACCACCAAAACTGTGGTAGGATTATTCCTCTCTTTTCTTTATTTCTATTTTATTATGTCAATGATAAAAATAACAGACGGAAGTTGATATATAGGTCGAGGACACGTAGATTAAAGAAAAAAAAAAAATAATAATAATGCCGGTGAGAAGTGACTATGCTGCTGCTGCTGCTTGCTGGTGGATTCAAGAAAAATCTTCCAACTTTGTCCTTTATATTTCTTTTTTCCCCCTGTCTATTTGTTAAACGTGTGCTTGGCACACACAGACACATATATATATACACACACACGTTCGTATCTATTCTCAGATGAATTGTTCTTTATTTTAAGATAAAAACGTGTGTGTGTGTGTATATATATATATATATATATATATATATATATATATAGTGAGTGACATTTAAAATTGTAGAACGTTACACTTATCGGACATTTGCTTGAAAACTATTTGTATAAGTGGTAGTAGTAGTATTTAGAATAATTACGTGAATAATAATGCCAATCATTTTTAGATTTATATTTATCTACGAAGTATTAATACCTGTTTAAAAGGTTTTATGCCAAATGAACTCTAATGAATTCAATGAAAGTTTGAAACACGATCGATATCCTAATTTTTCTCTTTCTTTCTTTCTTTCTTTCTTTCTTTCTTTCTTTTTTTTTTCTTTTTCTAATAAAACAAACTAACGAAAATGTTCATTATCGTTCTCACCAATTGTTAACGCTACAATTGATTTATTTTTGTATATTAATTAAATAGATATATTAATTTATTATCCATACGTTTCTGGTTAAATATTCCGAACACGTACCTCACTTATTTCCTATATTGGATTTTTCATACAAATAAGATTTATTTCTATTATTTAATAAACAAGATAATATATTATATATAGGGAAATATTTTACACATAAGAGGAAAGAAATAGTAATAATTATCGTAATATAAAAATCGTGCAAAATAATTCGTGCAAATTGAATGAATACAAATTTTAAGAAATACACACACACGAAAGACATAGATCAACACATACACAAATAGATAAAGAATAATTTTACGAAGATAATTTCATTATTATTATTACGATTGGTATTCTGAATTATGTTTTTGTTTTTTTGTTTTGTTTTATTTTTCGTGTAATCCCTAAAGGCCAATTAGATTTATTCAAAGATTTTAATATTAAAAATGTATTTCAATATTACGTATACCAAACAAAACTATTATTCTCGCGTGAGTAGTAAAACGTCGGAACATACAAAAACAAAAAAAAAAAAAAGAAAAATGATTAAAAAGAGAAAAAATAAAACCGAGGCAAGAAATATTTCACGAGAGTTGATAAACTCGGTTGGCACCGAGTTTAAGTTAGGTGAGTGTATGTGTATTATGTTCTAATAAATAAAAAAAGAAATAATATATATGCAACCACGGTGAAGTTATATAAATTGTGAAAGGAACGTTTGACGAAAGGAAAGGAAAGGAAAGGAAAGGAAAAAAAAGAAAATTAGAACAAAGAAAAATTATTTTTTTAGCAGTACGCGAGGTTCTCTCGAATTACCCCGGAGAAACCGTGTACTACTCGTAAATAAAAGAAAAACAAAACAAAAAAACGAATAAATAAATAGAAAGAAAAAGATATTAAATTCATTTTTTGTACCTCATTCTCAAAATCAAAATAATTCAAACCATTTTGTCTTGTTACAACGCAATTTCTTTCGGTACGAATTAGTTACATTCAGATTTCTTCTTTTAATGTAAAATAATTAGCTACGAGAAACGTGAATTCTCTTTTATATTGAATACAAGAATAAAAAAAAAACAAAAAATTCTTTTAAAATGATAAACGGTTAAAACGTAATATGATTTTTCTTATACGTATTATTATCCAGAACAAAATTTATATATCATTATATTTTCTAACAAAATCCTATTATAATTCTTATACTCTAGTAGCTAAAAATTAACAGAGGGGAAAAAAAGAAAAAAAAACATTAAAACCCCGTAAGTATGAATTATACAAAATAAATTACATACATATATATATGATACACGTAAAAGTTTATATATAACGTCAAAAGTTAAATGATCAATTAACAAATGGTTAGTTAATCACCAACAATAATAACCAGAAGAACAATATTAACAACAACAATAATAATAATAATAAAAGTAGATAACAATTATGGTTAGATTCGTTTTGAAGGAGGATAATAAAATGATAAAAAGGGTTGGGGATGATTTTGATCGATAAAAAACGTCGGTTTCTATAATAACAATAATAATAATAGAGAAACGTGTGTGTGTGTCATGCATAATAAAATGATTGTTATTAATCGTAGCCCTAACCGGTGTGAACCATCGGTCCTAAAGGGTCGAACCTCACTCTGTGCTCCGAAGTATTTTGGGTAGCTTGTAGTAAATCGGAGAAGAACCTGTGACGCCTTAATGCTAGCTCGTCGCGTGCTACGGGGGTTGCAGGGGGTTCTTGCATCCCGCTGCATCCCTCCGATCCCGGATCACCGTCATCCTCTTCTGACAGCCAACGTGGAATCGTAGAAACTACGAAAAGCATATTTTTCTTGTTCCCCCCGTTGTCTGTTACTATTTTCTAACTAACCCTTTTCCACCCCCCCCTCCCTCATTCTTTCTTTTTCTTCTTTTTACAAGTTACATCTTTCATCTCTCTTTCTTTCATTTATTTCTTGTTAAATTCGATTCGTTAGAAATGTGATTTAATTGTTGAATTAAAAACATTTGGAATATTTTTCGGAATGATCGTTGCATTTGGGAAATTATGTTTGTATCCAAAGAAATATGTCAGGATGTAATATTATGATGATACAAAATTATGAAACCGAGTATAAAATATTTAATTGAAAATTATTGTCGCGGATGTAAATTGTTTAATTTTTTTCTTAAAATCCTTTTTTTTATATATTCCTCCCCCCCTGGTATATATATATATATTCTCTAGAGTATAGAATTTTAAATAAAATATATATATATATATACGTAAAGAAACTAAAAATTGTGAGATAAATATAAGTAAAGTAATGATAAGACATTGTAAAAAAAACTTTGTAAGTTGGTGCAATAAAAACCTGATTATATATATATATACGTAAACCGTAGGGATTTAAAAAAGTGGATACTCGTTATGAAAAAGTAGGAAAAATAATTTGTTTTGATCGTAAGCCAATTTTATCTTCCTCCCTTCCCACACCCCCGACCATAACTTACGAAATATAAATTAAACCATTTTGCAGATTAAAAGGTAAACGGTTACGAATAAATAACAATTAATATATCAATTTTTGTTTATACGAAAAGAACAATATAAAAATCAAATCACTTCTTCCCCCCTATATTTTATATTTTTCTTCTTCTTTTTTCCTTTTTCTTCCATGTAAATCACGTTCAGGGGTTGAAAACGCGTAATTTATTATTACGAAGATCGTGTATTACGTTAAAAAAAAAAAAAAAAGGGTCTGATAAAAATAATACGCACGAAAGTATTATCCTCGACTGAAATATTATTCCGATTCGAACAATAGGATAACGAGTAGTAGTTTACAATCGATCGATCGATTGATCGAATAGCAATATTCGATAATCGATTGATTGTATCGTCTGATACTCTAGGGAAAAGAAAAAAAAAAGAAAAAAATAAGTGGTATTGCATCATCTTCTAGTCGTCATCGATCGAAAATCGTATTACAGGAATTGCTGATACCAATATGAATGGTCTTTCTCTGTCTCTCTTACTCTCTCGTAAAACGAATATCGATTTTCTATCGTACCCTTCTATCCTTTTCTATGGTATTAAACATGGTGAGAAGGGGGAAAGGGAAAGTGGAAGGGGGAGTGGTCTCAGATAATCGAAGGATAATAAAAGACGACAATAGTCGGTGGAATTTCTAAGGAGATTCCAACCCCCATTCCAACCACCATCCCAACCCCCTAACACCCACCGTAATCGAAACTTGGAAATCACATCGGATAAAAGTATAATAATGGATTGATGGATAGATAACGAATCGAATCTTTATGAAATAGGGGAAAAATAAACAAACAAAAAAAAGAGTTAACGTGATAAAAAAGGAAAAAGAAGAAGAAGAAGAAAAAAAAAAAAATACATTATTGTTAAACCTTTTGTAAAGTTTTATTCGATTTATTCGGGTTTTGTTATCTTTTCTGATAAATATTTTGTAAAGCGAAGTTATTAAAAAAAGAAGACGGGGTGGGGGAAAGATAGAGGAGAGTGAGAGAGAAAGAAATAATTGTGTATATGTATATATATATGTATTCTAGTTTCTATTAAAAACCATTTTAGGTCAGATACGTAATCAATTTTCAATGAACGTTGTGATTGACCTTAACCAACCAACCAACCAACCACCCACCCACATTTTCGTTCTCAATTTAATTGCAGTCTATCGAGAAAATGAATTTATTTTTAACAATTATATTAGAAAATATGTAATTTTATAAAAGAAAAAAAAATATAAGAAAATTTTTTGAAAACATTCTCCAAAGAAGAAATTTCTTTTTTTTTTTTTCTTTCTTTCTCTCTCTGGTGAGAAATGACGAGAAGAGAACACGGAAATAAGCCGAATAATAAAAAAAGCAAGCTTCATTTTAAAAAGAGTATCCACTCGAATAAATTGAGAATACGCGTCAGCTCATTTCTTAAGTACATGCTCGACCTTTGTGAACAAGTATTATAATATACAACGTTAAATTATACATGATCGTTTAAGATTATATTAAAACGAACAGAAATTTTTAAAGCAATTATACAATATTCCAAATATAAATAATTAATACGCGTACGCGTTTTATTAAGAAAGAGAGACGAGTATGTTAAACATGGACACATAATATATTAAATATCTTTAATAGGTATAATTCAAATAATTATTACACTAATCTCGAAATTTACAAATAATATAACTAAAACATTATATTATAATATTATAATAAAATTC